CGGCCACCTTGAAACATCGTTTTAATTAGCCGCACGTTTCTTGCTTGATAGCGCCATGTCAGCGTCGCTGCTAAACAAACAGCCGTTTTACTAGTAGAGATGCCCTCATCTGCACATTGCGCATCTTATCGCCATGGTACCAAGCACGTGCTAGCCATGGAGAGCTTCCGCTTCACCCACGCGTATCGATAGCGCGCCTCTACCATCGCACCTCCTACCACACACACGGATGCCCATCGCACATTGTTGCACCGGCTTGCTGGTATAGCCCGCGTCGAGTGGTGCATGCCTCCAAGCTCGGCACCCGTCGGCCCATTCACATGAAGGGCAGGAACTATGCCCAGGTGAGCGCCTGCTGTCCCCTACAACACTATAGCAGTCGCGTACCACAGCCTGTGCCTCAGAACGTCGCCTTGGTCTCCTCGACCGAACATACGGCATAACGTAAGAAAATATCCTAAGTAGCCACATCCAGCGAACCGGTTCGTGCCAGCTGAAATCTACTCTACCTACCCGAATACACTGGCCATTCGCGTCAGACGATACACTCGTACCACCGCCTCCACGCCATCATGCCGGAGTCGCAAAGTCCCACAAACGCCGCCGACCGGCCCCGCCTTACCGAAGCTCAAAAGAAAGAGAACCACATCCGTTCCGAGCAGAAGCGACGCGAAGCGATTAGAGAAGGCTTCGACCGACTTGCCTCAATAGTACCCGGCTTGGAGGGACAAGGCCGCAGCGAGGCAGTTGTGCTCGGGGGTGCCATCAAGCTCATGCGCGAGAAGATTGTGGAGCGACAGCAGATCATCGCCGACGCCAAGGCGAAGGGGATCGACACAACGGGATGGGAGTTGGACAAGGACACGATGGAGGCGTGCGCTAGGCAGATGGAGCGAACGCTGGCCGAGGAGCGACAGGCGGAGAAAGAAGAGAACAGTAATGGTGTTGAGGTGAAGAAGGAGTAAGAACGCACGCCTTCAACACGGTATACACGGAATGAGAATGGGCTGGGATACTGGAACATGCGTACAAGGCGTACACGCGTCACATTGCTAGCAAGCAGCAAGACACCCTTTGACTTTCCGCATGAGTCGCGTGGGGGGGTTTGAGAAAGAGGGATCATAACCCCTTCCGGTCAGAAGTAAAGTGCATTTCTTCGCTATCCTCAAATCAAAGTGATGATTAGTCCACCTAAGACGTGCGACAAACTAAGATCAGAGCGCATCCATGTAGTAGACATTCACCCGTGCACACACCACGCGCTTATCGATAAGACCCAAAATTATCTTTCACATGAAAGAAGCCCCACCAACCACCAAACTAACATCTTGCATATCAGTCTAACCTGATCCAACCCCAGTTCAGCATTTCATCATGACATTCAGTTTCGGCTTTTCAGGCGACGACATAGAAGAAGACCCCAATGACGTGCAAGAGCAAGGGCAACAGCAAACAACGATAGATAGCAATGTGCCACCACCTATTGCGGCCAAAACACATGATCTCGATGAACTGGTAGGTATGCGCTTTTGGACTTTGTATAGACATGGGACAATCTCTCAATCCCTTAGCCTTCTTTCTCATCGAGATAAAGACATTCTTACGAGCGATACTAACAAGGGTCCTAGCTAGCCAGCCTCCCAGACAAACTCTCCTACTCAACCATCAACATAACCAGCCCCAAAGGCTTCACAACTCGTCTGCCCCGCCGCGAACTCTTCGATGTGCGCCTTCAACTCATGGCCGAAGACGATGGATCATCCCAAACACCTTTGACAGGTCTGGATGTAATGCCGCCCTACCCTATCCCCTCTTTCCATCCACAAACTGACACTCACCAAAAGGACTCCGATCTCCGCCAAAACGTCTACGAAGGCGGCTACAAGACCTGGGAATGCAGTCTCGATCTCGTCCGCTACCTGCTCGACCGTGGACCACGGAAAGATCTCGATGACCTCATGCGCGTCGGTCATGTTATTGAGATGGGTTGCGGGTCTGCGCTGCCTTCGCTTCTCCTGTTCCAATATGCGGTTACGAACCAACTTGGGATCTACTTCACCCTCACAGATTACAACGCCGACGTCCTACGGCTTGTTACTCTACCTAATCTACTTCTAACATGGGTGGGTACGCTAAGTGCTGAGGAGAATGCAGCGCTGTTCCCTGAGGCGGGGAATCCGCTCTTGGAATCGGAAGAGAGTAGCGAGTTATATCTTACTCCTGAGATTCTAGCAGCTTTCAAGAAGGCGATGGGTGAAACTGGGATTACGATGACGTTTATCTCGGGGTCTTGGACGCCGGTTGAGAAGCTTCTGGAGATGGTTCCGTCGTCTCCGGATCTGAATACGTTCATCTTGGGTTCGGAGACTATCTACTCGCCAGCTTCACTCACGGCGTTTACTGATGCGATTGTCGCGCTGATGGGACGGGTGAAGACGGGCAAGACGATTGTGGCGGCGAAGAGAGTGTACTTTGGTGTTGGAGGTAGCGTAGATGGATTTAGGGAAGCCTGTGCGCAGAGAGGGTGTGTGGCCTACGAGATGGAGTTTGAAGGCCTAGGTGATGGAAGCGATGGAGGTGTGAGGAGATGTTTGGTTGAGGTGCAGATGTATTGAAAGTGGTAAAAAGAATGGTTCATTGCGGTCATGAGTTGTGGATGAGATGGGTATCTAGGGATGTACCAAGTAAAGGGACAAAGCCAAAAGAGAAAATCCTTATCATGAACGCCGTCATACAATATCCAAGCCAACGCAAGTTTGTCCGAAGTTCCCAATGTCGAGACGATCTTACTACTTCGCCCTCACGGTGACTGTCGGCCCAGGCAACTCCCTCCTACCCTCGGCTTCATCGCCACCACGCATAAGCCTCTTGTACGTGTCCCCCTCGACCCTCATGTGCTCTCCGCGGCTGACCTGCAGCCTGTCCACACCCTTTCCAATAGCATCAATGTGATACTCTAAAGGTAGATCACTTCTGTAACCCAGCATCTCCGGCGCCGCAACGCCCTCTCGCAAGTTCTCCAACTCGGCCTGGATCTCCTGTAGCTTGAGGAGTGTGCCTGACACGTGATTGACCGCTCTCTTGCGATAGGCACCAATGTTGGCAAGTAAATTGAGGGACTTGGTGTTAGCTTTCACATCGCCGCGGTTACCCCCAAGTTTTGTCCAGAGGCTAGAAAGAAGCTCTTCTTGTCTGCCCGTTATCGTCTGGTCATCGCCTGTTGCAATTTCGTAGATGGTGCCTAGTCGCTCATCAAGGTTATGCAGAACAAGAAGCAGAGCTTGGGCTGTTTCGATAAGACGCGTGATCTCGTCTTTGTTCTTGCTGACGTGTGATACGTACTGGTCAAAGATGCGTTGTTGAAGCGTTGGCGGTGGCGCGATGAACGCACCCGTGACCTGGTTGATAACTCGGCCAACGGCGCCAATGGAAGCCTCTTTCTCCGAGATACCAGACAACACGTTCATGGTCCAGGTGTTTGTCGCAATTACACGGTCCATAGCTGCCCCTATGCGACTGTTGTAACGAGACAGATCGACGGAAGCCTCGTTGGCTGTTTGTACAAAGTACTCGAATTCATTATCCAGGGCCTTCCGGCTCGGAAGACGAGAGTGCTTGACAAGAATACGCAAGTCGCGAATAGCAAGCTCAGAGTTCTTGATCGTGGCGGGCAGAGCAGAAGTATCCTTCGATGCGTCCAGGATATCCTCGAATCGACTTTGAACATTAATGAGTTCCTCGAAGTCGGCCTGAGGTTCTGACGTGTCTAGCGTAGCGCATGCGGGGATGAGGTAGGAAGAGCCTGGTATCGCGCAAACAGGCCCCATTACAGCGTTCGATACTGTGGATCGTAGTATCCCGGATGCTAGCTGGATGCCGAAGACTAGGATGCCAACGCCGAGGGCGACCCCTAAGAACGGCTTGATAAAGTGTCGCATCGCGTAAGAGAAGATGTCGAGGAAGTGGGCGAGGAGTGGTGCGGCGACGTTATCCCAGAAGAGGTTCACGTAGTGCCATGGGCTGACTTCTTCCTGGCTCTGTTGTGGCACTTGCGAGTACCCGCTGGCAGACCCTTTCGTGAAAGAGCTGCCTGGTGTAAGGGGCGAGTCTGATGGACGGTTCTGGGTCGTGTTTCGTAATCGGTTCCGCGGCTGAGATTTGGGACCTGGCGAGCCGCTGTAACCACTTGGCGAGTTACTCATAGAAGGCATGATGAAGCTCGGCTCGGATGCGTCTTGTTTCGGTGTTCTGTCGGGTCCTATCCTTTGCGACTGGCTGGCTTTGGTCCAACTTGTTGGCTTCCTCACGGGTCGAGCCTGCGATTGCGCCGTAGGTGTTGACTTGCTGAGGTGATTGCGCTTAGATCTAGGTGTCACGGTCGTCCGTGGTTCTTGTACAGTTTCTTTGTCAGAGTCCTCTAGTTCCAATTCGCTGGCTTCGTCGCTGGCCGAGTGAATGGAGCCCTCGTCACCGGATGCGTAGTCAGCGTCGCCCCAGCTACTTCCCAAGCTGTGTTCGAGTCGCCGTGAACGTGCGCTCATATTCCAAGTTGATGGTATCTAGGATCTGTGACGTAGGGCTGACGGATGAGTGGGTCAAGGTAAGAATGCAATACAGAGCAGGGGGTAGTTATAGATTTAGGCAGTGGTGTGTCTAGTGATGACCCAAACTGTCTCACTGACTGCCTTTGTGTCGTTGTAGGAGGCTGGGTAGAACAGGTTGCCACTTCCTACGTGTGACGTGGGGCCTGCCAATCAGGCTTCTGGCGCATACTGTGTCTTAGTGCGTCGCAGAGACATCAAGCACTTTTGTTGTTAGTGGAGTTCCAGAGCGATGACCCTAGCACTGTACCTGTAGTACCTGACTGCATTCGGGGGGTAAGTGGTGTTGGCGTACAGACGCGTCGACGTCATGTTCGAGCTCGCGTGCGCCAAGACGACTAGTCCAGAAAGTGCATCCTGAACAGCACGCGAAGTTGGTGCAGGAGTCAAGACTTTCCGATGTCACTACGCCAGCTTTCCCTTGCGCTACGGACTGCAAGACGGGTGCAATTAGAACCAAAGAGGTGGCGCCAACATGGACGTCTCTTCGCGCGCAGTTGCTCTTGTTCTGCGCCCCACCAGTTGCAGCACACGGTGACCGTCTCGTCTGAAGCACCCGCCAGTGCGCGATTGAACCCTACAGCCGGCACCCCGCCTACACCTCCTCTCGACCATCGAGCCCTCGCGCAAACACACAATCTCTTCATCACATCTCCATATAGCCCCGGCTCGCCGCTCATCCTTCCCAACGGTGCCTATGTCTTCCAGAAGTTGCAGTCGTTCCTGCGTGCGCAATATCCACAGTTCGGCTTCCAAGAGGTCATCACGCCCATAATATACAAGAAGTCGCTATGGGAGAAGTCCGGGCACTGGGACAATTATGCCGAGGACATGTTCAGTGTGCAGGGAAGAGGGACAACGGCGCAAATACCTGAAGCAGAAGGCGGAGAGGACGGCGAGTTCGGTCTGAAGCCTATGAACTGCCCCGGCCACTGTTTGCTGTTCAGGGACGAGATCAAGAGTTACAGAGATCTCCCAGTCAGGCTCGCCGACTTCAGCGCTCTGCACCGGAACGAGATCTCAGGCGCTTTGACAGGTCTGACCAGAGTCAGGCGGTTCCACCAGGACGATGCGCACATTTTCTGTCGGCCAGACCAAATTCTGGCAGAGATTGAGCAGACGCTCAAGTTCGTGGGCATGGTGTACAACACGTTTGGACTGGGACCCTACAAGCTGCTTCTCTCTACTCGGCCCAAGGACAGCTTCATCGGCACCATCGAGGAGTGGGATCGTGCAGAAGAGCAGTTGACTACCGCGTTGAACAACATCGGAAGTGAATGGGCAATCAACGAGGGAGATGGAGCGTTCTATGGCCCAAAGATTGACATCATTTTGAAAGACTCGAATGGCAAGGAGCATCAGACGGCAACCATACAGCTCGACTTCCAGCTGCCGCAGCGCTTCGATCTGCAATACCAAGCGTCACCGGACGAATTGGAGGCAGGACCGCAGTCGTCTATGGATGCAGGACTGGATCCGGCTCTTCGCCGCCCAGTCATTGTACATCGCGCCATCTACGGTTCCATCGAGCGTTTCATGGCTCTATTGATTGAACACTACGCTGGCAAATACCCATTCTGGCTTTCGCCTCGACCGGCCATTGTCTTGTCGCTGAACTCAGACCCCAAAGTTCTTGAACACGTCTCGCGCATTCAATCTGTTCTTTCCGGTCTCACGCCTTCTGACGCACCCGCAACTTCGTTATCGTCGCCCAAGCCCTTACCGTTATCGACTATACACCTACCCATTGACGTCGATACGAGTGACCGCTCGCTTGGAAAGAAGATTGCTGAAGCCAGGACAAAGAAGTACAACCACATCATCGTCGTTGGCGGTAAGGAGGTGGAGAGCGGTAGCATGAATCTTCAGATCGTGAACCAACCAAACGAGGAGTCCACTGTAGACGCGCTACAGGTTTCGTTAGGCAAGACACTCACTGAGAAAGAGCGATCGAAGGCCACCGTGAACGTCGACCTGGATGGCGCCAGGAAATACTTCGAGAAACTGGCCAACTCGTTCTTGTAATACAACGCCGATTCAGATTCAAACCTTGCCTATGTTCAATTTGTGTGACAACGTGGTTGCCCAGTGTTCAGTCTCGCTGTTTGCTCTGCCCGTTTTAACGATCCGTCATTACGTGCGGCTGATAACGACATTTCGCAAGTTTCTTCGAGAAAGGTTCGTGGTATGCTCAAAGAGAAGGTAGTATGGAGGATACAGGCTCTGCCACTGCTACTACACCCCGAAGGCTTGTCGAACGAATTGCGACATCTAAGTAGCAAGGTCTATCCGCAGTTGTCAAGGGTGTCTCATGTCCTCAGAGTCGAATTACCGATTGGTGTTCTCACTCTCACTCTCACTTTCACTTTCACTCTCACTTCCCGAGCACCGCCAAGACAACTAGTTCTTGCACGGGTACCTCAAAATTCTACTCCATTGCTCACCGCGTCACCAATCCTTCAGCGACGTTTCTTGTTCACGACCCTATCTCACGCGATGGCGACCGAAGTGCCGTTCACCGCCGACGCCGTACGCAGTATAGAGCTAATTCCTTGTGCACATGCGCCCACCAAACCACCAGCGTGAGTCCGAAACAATTCCAGCCATGCGTTCTTGCTAACAGTCTCAGTCACGTCTACGACAAGATCATTACCGTCGCGGTCGGACCGGACAATGCCAAGAAGAAGTTCAAGATCTATCGCGGGCTCCTGTGTCACTTCTCCAGCTACTTCGATCGCATGCTCAACGGTTCTTTCCGGGAAGGTGGCTCAACGTACCTTCGACTAAAGGATACCGACGCCGACACCTTCGACGTGTTCTTCTATTGGCTCAATTCTGGTGTTGTAGGTCTGGCGGACAGCGGAGGCCTTCTGGACTGGGGGAAGGTAATGAAGGCCTACGTGTTCTCCGACTTTCATCAGGCGCCTATCTTCAAGAATGCTGTCTTGGAATCTCTATACACTCGTTGGCTGTCAGAGAATGTGGTCGCTGTCGATGTTACAGAATTCTTGTACACCAACACATCTGAAGGGGACAGTATGAGGAAGCTCATTGTCGATATAATGGCGGCGTCGGGCAACTTCAGGGAATGTAAAAGACATCATCTCTTCGATTGCCACAAGGAGTTCCTCATAGATATTATTGTGGGTTGTCGAGCTCGAGGCCTAGTCCCGGGTGACGGGTCAAGGATCGATGCAGACACTTGGTTCGTCGACATGCGAACGAGCTTTTGCGAACGATATCATGTACACAGAGAAAGGGATGCCACATAAGGAGATCTCGATTCGTAAGTCTAGTTCTCAGATGTGGCAGCTCAGTGGCAGTCGCTAATCCGAGACGCAAGTGCACTTAGGAGACAGTGTGGCAAGCTTGCCATTTTACCTTCCAAGCTATGTGGGAGACCTTTGGTCAACAATGCAGGTGGATCCGTTGAGTCTGCCAATATTGTTGCAGTTGTATTCACTTTCATGCTCGGGCTACGTTCTTAGTACATAAATAAAGTACATCTGAGACTATATGATCCATTTCGACCGTACGCATGTCGCCCTTTCGTTGTTGCGCTCCACGATCCTGCTACGGGGTAATCAGATGCTGGTGACAAATCAAAATACAGCATATATACTAATTGTTGTGCTTAAACCCTCATCTAATGACTGACAGGTTCTACAGCTACTCGTAGAGAAGAGGTGCATGCATGCTGCTCAGGTTGGCTAGGTTAGCACAAACGTATCTTCACCTTCACCTTCACTTCGGCTTCTCGGCTAGTGGAGTTTGCTGCCTACCAAGAGATACACAAACGACTTTTACATTTTGTGAGAACTTTATCAACAACATCTACACCTCTTTCAAAGAAAGCAACTCCAACACTATTACGATGAGCCACCCATTAGCATGGTGCGCACACCCGTGGACCGCGCCTACCATCACCAACAGGCACGACACAGTCACGATCAATGTCGGCTCCGGCAAGAATATCCAGCAGTATGACCTACATGTCGAAGCACTCAGGGCGCGCTCGCGACACTTCCACGAGGCCCTTTCAGCCTCCTCAAACGAGGAGCGCACAGCGATCCACCTCGCGTGCTCTACGCCACTGCGATTCGACGTCTTCGCCAACTGGCTCTACAACGGCAGCCTAGACTCCAGCAATGACACCAGTTCGAGATACCTCTTCTTATGCGAACTCCACGTATCTGCCGACACCTTCGATATCCCGCTCCTGCGCAACAAGATTGTGGATGTGTTCTTCAACAAGCTTTTGCGCGACGCCCAGCCACTGCCATACGACATCATGAAGTACATCGAGGAGCATCTGAGGGACTCTGCTTTGAGGACCATGATGCAAGACATTATGCTGAACTGCGGTGAGACGGAGGACATGGCCGAGTGGAAGGTCAACCTTGCGAAGGGCTTCAGGATGGAAGGTGGTAGAAACAAAGACGTCGCTGAGACAATTGGCAGGAATTCAGATGGGAGAGAGTACTTGGTCGCGTTGAGGGGCAAGGTATGCGAGAAATATCACGAGCATGTGGAGAGAGATGAGATGGTCGTGGAACGTGAGGAGGTGTGGTTCTTCGATCCACCTCTAATCTAAGCGGGGAGCGCTTTCATGTAGTATGAGACGTCCGACATATAGACGATAACGAGGTCAGAACGGAAAGAGTGGGATGTCGTAGTGGAATTTGATACATTCAGTTGTCATACTGTCCATGCGAACAAGGCGATCTAGCTGAACTCAGTGAAACTCGGTCGTTGATATTATGACTTCTGACACAGCATAAGATGAGCTTCTGTCGAACTATGTACCATGATATGAAGAACTGTACTCGCAATGCATGTGCGGAGGTTGGGCATACCTGGGCACCTGGGCGGCTCTTTCCAATGTTTGCGCTAGCCTGACGCTAGTCTTCGTCCGGTAAGACCCTGATTTATCTGGCTGACGTCATGAGCTCGCACAATGGAATCCGACTACGGTCTCATCTCAAACCGACCTGCTCCAGAGATGACCCATGACCGTTCCCATGGCGCTTCCTAGCCTCTTCCGCTGACGATCGGGGTATATCCGCACAACCGCAGCCATGCAACGCCGCGCAGCGCTTGGTCACACCAAACAGAGTGCGGCGTACGACCTTCATTGTCGCCCAAAGCATTCTTTTTGTTCGGCACTCGCTGATCGAGGATGGCGTCGTATTAGTTACGCGATAAGGTGCCAGACAGCGGTATAGGATGAAGGCAAGCGCAGCCAATCGTGTGTAAGTCGGTATGTAACAAGACCGAAGAAGAGCGGCGATGAGTCCATGAAGTACACCGCAAATGGATCCTTCCAGTCCTTTTGTAGCTCGAGACTGCTAAGACACATGTTGCAAAATACAACTTCTTGACAGCATCGCCGCCTTCAACGGAGATTGAAGCGTACCTTATCTAGCACGCGGCTGATAGGCACAGGCTTCTCGTTCACAAAGGAAACCTCGGAATCGGTTCGTTCGTCTACGAGAGAAGCTCGAGATGCCGGTGGTGATACCTCCGGATCAGCCGAACGCATCGTCAGCCACTGGGTGACAAGCATACCGAGACAGACTGAACTATGCATTAGCGTGTGTTGACCACAAGGGGCGGATCGTGAACTTACTATCAGCGAGGCACATGAGCAGACAAGCGTGGCTCATCTTCGCAAAATTCCAGGCAAGGAACAGGCTATTGTTGCACAAGGTGACAAACAACATGAAGCCCGAGCCAACAACATTTCGAACCAGCATGACTCGCAAGTTGTTCCGAGAAGATACGGCCCGCCGTGTTCCTTTCATCCAAAGTCGGATTCTCTGCATTGAAGAGTCGCTTGATGTACCAGCAGTGTCGCTTGCGAGACTGAATATCCTAGGTGCCGCTGAACCCAGTGCTGGTCGAAGCTGCCATACGAAGATTCCCGTGAGAACAGTGTTCATCAGGATGTCCAGCACGATGATCGCGATCGTAGCCGGCCGCTCGATGCCTATCCTGCATTCGCCTGTCTGGTGGTTCAAGATAGCCATTGGGTTGACAAACTGCCATCCCATGATCGCGAGGAAACCACCCGTGACGAAGATCCCTCCGAAGACATACAGCATATCCCTTGTGCGATCCACAAAGGGAGCCCGTACGATATGAACGCGCTCTAGCAAGAAGAGATATCTGTATGTGGTTTAGTATCCGGGCTTTGGGTGAGCGTCACGCAAGAGTAAACACTTACAGTGCTATCTTATCCGCGCTATACATGGCGATGCAGACTCGTATCGCAGCATGACATTGCGCATCCGTTTGCAGACCCAGTCCAGCTATCTGTATGGCTGTGGCAAATAGAAAGGCCGAGCAGATGAAGCCTTGCGCGAACACGAGTACATCCGACACCCGAGTTTTGGACTTTTGGCCAGCCATGCGGCCTGCTCGATATCCTACCAAACTGTTAGTAAACGTTCTGAGCGACCTCTGGATACGAAACGGTCAACATGAAATTCGAATACACTTACCCTGGGCCAACGCGAGAACAAATGCAAACAGGATGCATATGATAATCACTGCCACGCGATGTGGTGGCAGCTCGTCCAGGTTGACATGTTTGTGGCTTTCGTCCCGAGTAACAAGGAAAAGCGGAGACATTGGCTGCGCAGCCACACCAGCGATGGAGATTTGCGCAAAAGCAAACAATATCGCAAAGGTAGAAGATCGCATCAACGCTGCCAAGGTGTCCGTTGAGACATGGGGAGTGGTCTCACGACATATAGGTTCACGAAGCGAGCTCTGATCAAGTGTTCAAACTAATTTGCGTATTACGCCGTGGCAAGACTTCTCACGCAACGTCAATCAATCATAACACGGTATATCCTCGATCTATCGGATCGTAGGGCAATGTGTCAAGGGCTAGCGCATCAGTGGACGAGTCACCGCTAAAGCTTACTTCAACGGTTCCGACGAGGGGAAGCTGGAGACAACTCCGTAGCGCCGAGCAGCGACCCCGTAGCGAGCCTTCCATGCGCTATGGTGCGGAGACGTTGCGCTACAGCCCTACTACTAGACACCGTTGGGCTCTAGAAGTCTTGACCCGCTGGAGAGTTTTGACCGCTGCTTCAGGAGATGCAGAAGTCGCTTCAGCCACATGTTTGCGCCTCCAAAACGACCACCGTGAAGGCTCTGGTTTCCAAATACCATGGTGGCATCTGAACGAGGCTATGCGCGTAAGCTTACGGCGACGAGGTCCGGAGGTTCCAAGAGGCTTGGATCTCGGGTTGGGAAAAGGACCGGATGCCGCACGCCCCGGGCTTATCATCCAGGGCTGATACAGAGAGAACCTTGGAATCTTGCAAACCTTCGGGACGCGCCCTTATCTCTGGACCCTCATAATGTCCACCAGCCATGTCATCCCGTAGTGGTAGCCTTCGTCATCGTTGGTTTCCGCTAAGTTTCTTCACATGTTATGGCTGTCGTTCCGACTCCACCTTGGCTATGTCACGATGCAGAACAGACATCGTGTAGTGTATGTTCTCCTAGGTCGCTCCACTCGTTTTGCTTCCCAATAGTCTAACTAATCAAGTGTTTGCGAGCTGCAATAGGGTTTCGGCCTTCTTTTTGGGCGTGCTCGGACGAAGAAGACCGGGATATCTGGAAGCCGTCAGAGGTGAGTGAAGGGTCTACCATGTACCCCTCAAGTATCTTCTGTAAATTAAATCAACCGCCCAAGCCCTTTTCATGGCCCTGGGCAAAGACATGTAATCTTGCCAATGGTGCTAATAAGGAACGACAAGCCCAGCCTCCCCTATCGGCCGTACCCTTCACTGCGCTGGGAATTTACCTGCGTAATACCTATATTCAGTTAATGTTGTCCCACGAATGAGAAGTCTGAGAAACATCTGTAGCAATCACTATGTATCCTTCGACCGTGGCCGCCGCCTTTGTTACTTATTGGACAAAGACAAATGGGTGGTGATCATCTGTGACTGAAAGTCGTCTCCATGGCTGGCACGCGATGTACTGAGCAAGGTAGTATGGTCGGTAGACGAGAGCAGAACGCAGATACAGCGGAGCTAAAAGCAGCAAGTGTCACGTAGCATACCGTTATGTGTTAGCATGGAGCGCAGGTGAATATGCGTACAAGGGTTAGTGTTTGTTTGGTCTATGTAGAGTACCTTGCTGTACATGGTCGCGCTTCGCTTGGAACGTAACTGCAAGTGCATACCCGTGGGCTGCCTCTCCACTACCCTAACAGAACTTCTCCATCGTCCATGAGCTCAAATCAGACTCCGAGCCTTCCCTACCGATAGCCATTGGCTCGATCGATGTCCGAATCCGTCAGTCGTCCTTACAAGAATCGTGTATGTTGGGCAATGCTGAGATTTCATTGTACCAACAGGCGAATGGAAAGACGCTCGCTCACTCGGTCTACCAGCCAGAAGAAGTATTGGCATCGGCAGCTGCGGTAGTGTCGTCAGCCCAGTTGCCGCTCGACTCAACCGGAGTATCACCCCAACCGCCAGCCGCAGCGGTCGAGCCACCGGCATCGCCCCAGTCACCGCCGGCAGCCTCAGCAGGAGGCTCAGGGCAACGCTTCTCGCCATGACCGAAGTTGTTGCAGTTGCGGCACTTCACGCGGGACCAGTCACGAGGCTTGGGGCACTCGCGAGAAGCATGACCCTCCTCGTCGCAGTTACGGCACTTCATGACACGAGGCTTGTCGCACTCGCGCGACATATGACCCTCATCTCCGCAGTTGTGGCATGCGCGACCAGGACCACCAGCCATGGGCTTACGAGGCTGAGTGCACTCCGTCTTGCGATGTCTGTTAAATATTAGCTTGACACTCCAAAATGATCGACAATAGTTCGACTTACCCAGTCTCGCCGCAGTTGAAGCAGGCTTGACCACCAGAGCCCTGAGGACAATCGCGCTTCTGGTGACCCTTCATACCACAGCCGAAGCAGGCACGGTCGCCGCCACCGCCACCTCCACCAGAGGGGCAGTCACGCTTCTGATGGCCGGTCTGACCACAGCCAAAGCAGGCCCGATCGCCGCCTCCGCCGCCGTTGTTGTTGTTGTAGCTGGTAGTGTTTGCAGTAGAGAAACCGCCCGCAGAGCCCCAGCCGTCATTGGCAGTAGTCGTAGCGCCGCCGAAGGTGTCACCACCAGAGCCGAACTCGTTGTTGGCGTCAGCAAACTCGTTGGTGCCGCTGAACTCGTTGCCACCACCGAAGCTTGTAGCGTCACCGCCGAAAGTACCAGCTGGGTTCTTGGCCTTCTCTAACTCTTCGCGCTCTTTGGCTTCGGCCTCCCGGTGCTTCTTGGAGTTCTTGTGTCCGTTCCAATCCTTTGTGAGGATCTCGCGGTCGCAGAGCTCGCAAACGGAGATACGAGCAACATGCTCCTTGGCCTTGGGGTATGGGTTGGATACCATGGTCGAATACAGGTTAGCCGGACCACGAGCCATAATGAGGACTGTGGAGGATGTGAGAGAGGTGAACTAGACACAGTTCGTTAGCTTTTTGCACTCCAGAGACGGCAGCAGTGCAGTGAAGCGCGACAGACGTCGGTCGAGCGCCTAAAGAATCCAGGCTGGAAGCAGCTTGGAGC